CTCTCAAAAAAAAAAAAAATATATATATATATATCATTATTATTTTTAAATATGACCAGAGAGAGAGAAAGTCACCAGGTCCAGGATCCGAACTGCGTCGGTCATGTGGGAGTCCAGCACCCTAACCACTATGCAATTTCCTGGCCCCAATATTTTTATTTCTTATGCTAAGTGAGGAGATATCAGTAACAGAGATAGAGGAAGCAATGAGTAGGACGGACTTTTTTCTTCTAGAGCAAAGAATTACCAGGAAGCAATCAGAAAGTCACTGCAAAGAAGGTCTAGTCGAAGTGAAAAGATGATCCACAAGACACTGAAATTACTAAAATTTCAGAATGCCAAGGGGAGAAGGGCAAAATACACACTTCAGTGTTAAAATGACCCAAACTCGTAACAAGTAGTAGAGATTCTTTGTGAATGGCCTAATGGCTAGATAGCATGGTCTACATCAATATTTTATGAATGACCATTTCTTCCCCAAACACCAAGATCAGTCTATTCCATTATCCTGCTATGAAAGTCCAGAGGAAAATAACGGCAAATTTTTTTATGCATCTATCAGCAAACTTAAAAACTGACATAGGGGCCAGCAGGTGGTGTGGTAGTTAAGGGTGCTAGACTCCCAAGCGATCAACTGCGGTTCAAGTCCTGAACCTGGTGGCTTGTTTTCTCACTTTCCCTCTCCTTCTCTCCCCCTGATAAACCTGGAAAATAATAATAGTGATAAATAAAGTTAAATAAAATAATTATTTTTTAAAAAAGAGAACTGACATAAGGAAATACTACACCACCATTAAATTAAGGCAGCAACTAGATGTGTTTTGCTGTAAGTGGGTCCTAAACAAACTTGTGATTCTTAAATGCACACCATTAAGCAAAAGAAGCCAACTGAAAAGGTTACATACTATACAATTATAGTTAGACGACATTCAGGGAATGACAAAACTGTAAAGACAGTAAAAAGATCAATAGGTGCTAGGGTTGGGAGGAGAAAGAGAAGTATAGGTGGAGCACAGATTTTTGGAACAGTAAAAATACTCTGATACTGGGACCAGCAGGTGGCGTGGTGGTTAAGGCGCTGGACACTCCCACATGGCCAACTGTGGTTCAAATACCGGACCTGGTGGCTTGCTTTCTCACTTTCCCTTTCTCTTTCTCTGTGTATCTCTCTCTGGTCAAATTAAAATAAATGAATGAATAAATAAAATTAAATATTAAAAAAACTCTAATCCTATAATGGTAGATACGTGTCACTGTACTTTGTCCAAACACAGAATGTACGCCACCAAACGTAAACCCAAATGTGAACAATGGATTTTGTATAATAATGATGTGCCAATGTAGGCTCACTGGCTTTAACAAATGTATCACTCTAATGGGGGGGGGTTGGTAGTAGGAGAGACTATATATGTGTGGAAAGCCTTTTAAAAATGGGGGGGGAGGATGAGAAAAAATAAAGGGAGTAAATAAAGCAGACAAGGTACCAAAGCAACCAAAAATTAAAAAAAAATTTTGGAGTAGTTATTGCGCTATATGGCGTGTGTACTTGCCAGAGAGACAGAAAGTGAGAAATCATCCCCTGGGGAGAAAGTCACACCACAATCCCTTCTCCTCCATTCACATCTTGGGATTTTGGGCATGCACACACACATGCCCGGTGTGAGTTTTAAGCCGCCAGGTCAGGGACTTGAACCCCAGTCAACTATGGGAGTCCAGCAACATAACCATTTCACCATCTGCTGGTCCCCAAAATAAAATTTTGAACATTAACTCAGAATAGTACATTATCTCAAGATCTCAGTAAGTCCTTATCTATACAGGCTTTTGATAAAATACCAAGATACATAAACGGATGGTGCTATGGATTGAATGTGTTCCCACAAAACTCATATATTAAAATCTGGTAAGCCACTATAATGGTGCTGAGAGGAAGATGACTTAATATGATCACAGTGTTGAACAGATGGGCTTGTGGGAGGTTAACTGGGACTAGACAAGATTTGCCCTTACTCTGTCTTGCCATGTGATGTCACCTAACGTGTTACCCACCAGCAGGAAGACTTCACCAGAAGACTTCACACTTTGACCTTGAACCACCAAAACCAAGAGCTAAATAACTTATATTTTTTTAAGTTATCCAGTCTTAGGTATTTCTGTTATTAACAACATAATAGACTAGAACAGACAGTCCCTGACTTAGAATAGTTTGACTAACAATTTTTAGATTTTACAATGGTGCAAAGTGATATGCATTCAACAGAAACCAAAACCTCAATAACTCAAAAAACATCTGGTCAAATGCATTTTCAACTTACAATATTTTCAACTTACAACAGGCATATTGGGACATCCCCCCATTATAAGCGAAGGAGCATTTGTATTTATTAATTAGTGTTACATGGACACACCTGAAAACATACCGTCTTAACATAACGAACAAGGTTAACATCGCCTATGATGGTGCAAATCAACTTCATGTATCTCCTGATAAAATGCTCTTAGGAGAACAGAACACAGCTTCAGTGGTACTTGGGCCAAGAATGTATTATCCTAATCTAACAATGATGAAACAAAAATAAACCAAAACTGAGGGATATTCTATAAAGTAAATGGTGCATTCTTTTTTAAGAAACTGTCAAGGATATAAAAGAGAAGGAAAAATGAGAAATTATTCTAGGATGAAAGAGCGTAAAGAAACATCACAACTGAATACAACATGGTCCGGGATCAAATCTGTGACCTGTAAGGAACATTAATTAAACAAACTGAAATGAGAATGGAGTGTTATGAATTAGATGCTAACACTGATGCAATGTTAACTTCCTGTTTTGATAGCTGTACTACCATGGCTATGCAGAAGAGTGATATAATCCTTAGGAGATCTAAGTAACAGGGTATCACATCTGCAATTTACTCTCAAATGATTCTGAAATGTCGAAAATTAGAGAACTGAGTAAAGGTACACCGGAGCTGTTTCTCCAAGCTTTATGTAAATTTGCATGCCCAAGTTTTCTATTTGAAATGAACTGTTTTGTTGCATGAAGTAGTGTAGCTACTTTCCTGAAAATATTATCACATCAGTTCTGACATACTGGCATAAAAATTCATACACAGCTGTATATATACAAATTATCTCATCCAACTAAGGATCCTAAATATCCTAAAGAGAGAAAATACTAATAAACTATGAGTTATAAACAGAACAAAATATAAGTCAATGCTCAAAGCAAATTTATGGACATACATACCTGCATGCCATAGCAAATTCCAAGAACAGGCTTGCCAATGGTGAATATTGCTGGATCAAACCAGGGTGCATCTTCTGCATAGACGGAATTAGGTCCTCCAGAGATGATAATGGCACTGGATTTAAGAAAGTCAGTGAAAAATCTCTTACCCACTAATTTTTATACAAAGTCTATGCCTCCTCACCCTTGTACCACGGGGGGAATCAATACAGATCCAGGGATGTTAGGTTTTGGGACACTGTAGCAGATCTAGATTCTATTAAGACTATGAACCAACACAGTTAAATTATTTGGCTATATTTTGGTGCAATGTTTAGAAGTCTATCAATTCAGCATTCATTTGTTAGTAAGCACATACTTCTAAATACATAAATACCAATGCTTATACCTGTGAAAGCATAAACTTTTTTACTCATCAATGAAAAAAGTAAATGAAAATTCTGAAAGGAGATGAAGTAGAGCAGTAGAGCAGAGTATAATACAATAACCAAAGGTGTTATGAAGGCCCTGGATGGCTGAGAGCAAAATACTACAAAGGCCGACAGAATGCAAAGTACAGATTACTTAACTTTGCCCTGTTTTGGTTGATACTGTTTTTTAGTTTTGCTATAGGGCCTGTGTGCTAGTCAGAGAGACAGAGGCATGGGGGGCGGGGGGTGGCGTGAGAAATCACTCCCCTAGGATGGATGGCTATGCAGCAATCCCTTCTCCATTCTCTTCTTGGGATTTTGAGCATATACACAAGCATGCCCAGCGTGTTTTCTCGAGCTGCCAGATCCAAGACTCAAACCACGCAGTCAGCCATGTCAGATCCAGGCACCTTAACCTCCATGCCATCTGCTGGCCCACTTTGTCCAGTTTAAAATCTGCCCAACATCTCCAGTAGTTCTGAGACTAAGAAAAAACAGCTAACATTAATTTTGCCTCACATGCCCTGCTCTTAGAACTCAGGCCAACACGACAATTTAGCTATACATTGCAATTTACAGAGCATTCTATAGATTAACTTGGGAGTTGAACTACCATTATAACAGAGAGCTATAAACTGAGGCCTAAGTCCCTCATCTGTCTACTGGTATACCTAATATGGCTCTCAATCTAAAAATTTAAAACATTTTACTACTCTACTAGGAATTTCACATAAAAATTCAGATTTCAATGCTGCTCACAACCAGCATGGGTGACAAGAGACACCTTGTCTAAAAGAGCCAGTCATGATGGCACATGCCTGAATGTGGTCCCAGCTACTCAGGAGGCTACAGGAGAATTGTGACAGAGTCAGATTCTTCTGTTTAAAATAGAAACAAATGAAACAACACTCGCCCATCACACATAAACACAAAAATGCATTCTAAGATCTAGCCAAAATCTACATACAAACAAATTTGGATTATAATTCACTTTTTTTTTTAAGAGAGATTTTTTTTTTTGTAGAGGTTTTCGCCATAGGGGGCGTGCACTCGCCAGACAGACAGACAGAGACAGAGAGATAGAAAGCGAGAAATCACCCCCCCGGGGGGATGGCCACGCCGCAATCCCTTCTCCTCCATTCTCCTCTCGGGATCTTGGGCACGCACGCACACACGCCTGGCGTTGAGTTTAAGCCACCAGGTCCGGGACTCGAACCTCGGTCGACTACATGGGAGTCCAGCGACATAGCCATTTCGCTAACTGCTGGTCCCTAAGAGAGATTTTTTTACTATAGGGCATGTGCACTCGCCATAGACACAGAGACAGACAGAGAGAGAGAAAGTGAGAAATCACCCACCGTGGGGGGTGTGTATGTGTGTGTGTGGCCACACTGCAATCTCTTCTCCTCCGTTCTCCTCTAGGGATTTCGGACACACACACACACATGCACCCAGTGTGAGTTTCAAAACACCAGGTCTGAGACTCAAATAGCAGTCAACCATGTGAGAGTCCAGTTCCTTAACCATTATGCTACTTGCTGGCCCTACGATTCACTTTTTAATTAATAGCTCCCTGACATGTAAAAACATACCAGGTGTATTAATAGGCTTATAATATATCCAGAAGAATAATATAACAAAAGTCAAAGTTCGTTTGAATTATTTACTTTCAAAGACAGACATGAATATTGGTAATTCTAGAACTTTCTCACATGAAAATTTCTGGAGAAAAATGATACTCAAAAATGTCAGTTATGAGGGAACCAGCAGTTAGCGTAATGGCTATGTCGCTGGACTCCCACATAGTCGACCGCGGTTCGTGTCCCGGACCCGGTGGCTTAAAAACTCACGCCGGGCGCGTGTGCGTGCGTGCCCAAGATCCCGAGAGGAGAATGGAGGAGAAGGGATTGCGGCGTGACCATCCCCCCTGGGGGGTGATTTCTCGCTTTCTGTCTCTATGTCTCTCTCTGTCTGTCTGGCGAGCGCACGCGCCCTACAGTGAAAATCTCTTAAAAAAAAAAAAAATGTCAGTTATGGCTTTTGTTAAATACTGTCAATTAATTGCATTTATGACTATAGGTTGCATGTAGCTCATGAATTGCAATAAGCTCATGAATTATATTGCTGATTCAAGCAATAGGGTACTTGCTTTTGTTGTGGAAAACAGTACCATAACTGTGCTGTTTCAATTCACTACTCAGCAGGCTAGAGCATTTAAAAAGTAACAATAATTTTAGTAAGTTCAAAAGCACCCTTTATTCAGATACCCTTTGTATGGGTAACATATGTCCAGAAATCCTGACAGGATAGAGAAATAGCAGAAAAGGCACTGTGGCATGGTCATGACCCAATGGGGAGGTATGTTTTTCTCTTCCTCTCTTTCTCTGGTGAATACACATATCATTCGGCAAGTGAAAAGAAAAACAAAAACGAAACAAAACAAAAATACAGAAACGAAATTCTATAAAAACATACTTAACATTCAAAACATCTAGAATTCTCAGTTCTCTGGTTTGAAAAATGGTTTGCCCTCAGAGAGGTTCATATGCTGGAAGCTTGGTCCCCAATGTAATGGTTAGACCTTTAAGAGGTGAGGCCTAGTGGGTGGTGCTTGCATCATGGAGACACCACCCCCCTGAATAGATTAATGCTATCTCACAGAAGGGAGGGAGTTCTTTTGAGAGAAAGGGTTAGTTCTCTTGAGAGCAGGTTGTTGTAAAAGTGAGACAGTTCCACAGGCCACACTTGCTCCGTTTGTGTGCACCAATTGACCTTTCTGCTTATCTACTTATGCCATGTTGTGATGCCAGCTCCATGATCTTGGTACTTTCCAGTAGCCAGAATAATGAGCCAAATAAAACCTCTATTCTTTATAAATCACCTGGTATAAGGCATCTCTGATTAGCAACACAATTAACAAACTAAGATATTCAGTATTTACATTTAGCTTTTTTCTTTTTTGAGAGGTTTTTGCTATAGGGCGCGTGCGCTCTCCAGACAGACAGAGACAGAGAGAGAGATAGAAAGCGAGAAATCACCACCCAGGGGGGATGGCCATGCCGTAATCCCTTCTACTCCATTCTCCTCTGGGGATCTTGGGCACGCACGCACTGCGCCCGGCGTGAGTTTTAAGCCACCGGGTCTGGGATGCGAACCACGGTAGACTACGTGGGAGTCCAGCAACATAGCCATTACACTAACTGCTGGTCCCTACATTTAGTTTTATAAATAACCACCATGGAACTGCCCCATCCCTCATCAATCTGCTGAACAACCCATGGCTATAAGATTCTTAATACTATTAAAAAATACACATGATAGACTTAGTCAAGGATAAAACTCAAGCAGTACTTAAGCCAATTATGAAAAGACTTATCTCAATAAATCTTGAGAAGATCTAATCACTCCGAGTCTTCTATTTCCACCCTGCTACTATGAAACTAATCTGCAATTAGAAGGCCCCAGGAGTCATTCCAAATACCAATGTTAAGCATCAGATAAAGCTTCTAAAAACAGGTAGGTTAAGATGCCTTTCATGCTGGCCCTGCCACAGTGGCACAGTGATGATGCAATGCTTTACAGTACCAGAAGCTATAGGGAAGATTGGGGTTCAGCTCCCAAGGCAACCTGCACCCCCCAGTTACATGCATGCCTGTGATGCTAACAGGCTGAAAAGGCTAGGGGGAAGTCTGCAGCATGACCCCTTTTGAGCGTGCTTGTCTTTCCCCCTCTTCATGAAAAAAATAAATACTTCAACGACAAAGAAAAAGATGTCTCTGTAATAAAAATCATTTACTCTAGAAAATGGGTGGCCAAGGGCCTGCCAGGTGGTATGGTGATTAAAGCGCTGGGCTCCCACATGGCCAACCACAGTTTGAGTCCTGGACATGACAGCTTGCTTTCTCACTTTCCTTCTCTGTCTCTTTTATCAATTATAAATAAAATTAATTACTTAAAAAAAGAAAATGGGTAGTCAAATTGAGATTTCAGCAAAAAGGACAGAAGGAATAAGCCAGAGCCAGCAGGTGGTGTGGTGGTTAAGGATGCTGGACTCCCACATAGCCAATGGTGGTTTGAGCCCCAGACCTGGAGGCTTGCTTGCTCACTCGCTCGCTCTCTCTTTCTCTCACTCTCACTCTATTCCTCTTTGGTCAAATTAAAATAAATAAATAAAGTTAAATAAAATATTTCTAAATAATTTTTCTTTAAAAAAGGAATAAACCATAATGCTATAGCTCCTATTCCCCTAATTCAGAAATGAAACTCTAAGCACAAGCTGAGCTTAGGAACTATTTATGATCAAGTGACAGGAAACAATGAGATTTCTATCACCAAGTAGTTAGCTGCCCTGTTTTAAAACATTTAGTCTGGGTTAGTTTGCTGAGAATATTTTATTTTTTGTTTTGGATGGGGACAATGAAGGAACTTGGATTTGACAGAAAGCCATTTGTCCTTCATAAACAGTTTTTGATTCTTTGAAACTAGTTCTTGCTGGTGAATCAAGACAGCTGAATTAGATAAGCTCAATAGTCATTTCTTAGGCTAAAATTCTGCAGTTTATTGTTTTTAAAGAGTTGATTTATTTATAATTATTATTTTTTAATTTCACCGGAAGAGAGAGGGAAGGTAAGAAAGTAAGCTGCCAGCTCCAGGACTTAAAACACGGTCAGCCATGTAGGAGTCCAGCACCTTAACCACCACGCCACCTCCTGGTCCCAAATTCTACAGTTTAAAAGAGAGTTGTTGCTGTTAAGAATTATTTATTTATTTTAAATTTGCCATAGAGCACATGCACTCACAAGAGAGAAAGAGAGAGAGAAAAAGCCACTCCAGGACTCAAACCATGATCGGCCATGTGGGAGTCTAGCGCCCCAACCACCACACCACCTGCCGGCCCCAAAGAACTGTTTAATCTGCATCCTAAAACTAAAAGAGAATTAAATTTAAACCTGCCTTATCTGATTTCCAGTTCATTCTATAGACTTCAATCGATCATAGGATAATGTTCACTTGTCTAGGAAACCTCCTAAAGTTCTTTTAGCCATTTTCTCATTGGGAAAATGTTTTAGAGAAAAATAAAACATTGTATTTGGGGATAATCATAGCATAGTGTCTAATATTAAGGTTTAAGAAGCAATTAAGGGAAAAAAGTAGCAATTAAGGATATAAACTGTACTTTTTTACTTCATATAACACTGCTAGTATAAAGAAAAAATATTAATTCAACATTAATTAATTGTGGCATGGCCATCCCCCTCCCCAGGGGGTAATTTCTCCCTTTCCCTCTCTCTGGTGAGCGCACACATCCTACAGCAAAACCCTAAAATAGCATTAACCAGAAGCAGTAGTTAAAGAAAAACTATTGATAAGTTGGCTCTTTTGATAGGTTCTAAGGGCACGGGCTGTTGAAATTAGGCCTTATATTACACTTAAATCTTTTTTTTTTTTTTTGAGAGATTTTCACTGTAGGGCGCGTGCGCTCGCCAGACAGACAGAGACAGACATAGAAACAGAAAGCGAGAAATCACCCCCCAGGGAGGATGGTCACGCTGCAATCCCTTCTCCTCCATTCTCCTCTCGGGATCTTGGGCACGCACGCACACGCGCCCGGCGTGAGTTTTAAGCCACCGGGTCCGGGACGCAAACCGCGGTCGACTACGTGGGAGTCCAGCGACATAGCCATTACGCTAACTGCTGGTTCCCTACACTTTTTGAGACTTCAGAAATTAGTTCTTACACAGAAATTTCTTCTCTTTGGGTATTTTAGTCAACTGTCTGTGAAAAATGTTTTAGAATAAATGACCTAATAACTACATCTAACTCTAATCCACAATTCTATAAAACTTAAAATATTCAAATAAGTTCTTAGAACTATGTAACTTACATCTTCTGAGAGCTCAAATTTTTCCCTCCCAAATCAGAGCCCTAATAAAAAACTTCTTGTAAAACCACTCCCCCTACCTTATTTTCACAGGGAAAATTCAGGGCCCAAGCAACTAATACAATATGCCACAATCTAAGTTCAGTAATCTCATAAAAAACATTAGTAAAAATTCTACCGGAATCCTTGTTCCTTTATGGCAAATGCTGGTGTCTCCAAGGGGAAGATTTCAGACTGCACGAACAATTCCCTCACTCTCCGGTCTATAACTTTCCCATACTGAGCACCAGCATCCAGAATGACGACAGCTCCTTCATAGTGGTGGCAACCATCCTTAAGGTCTCCTCCAGCATTCTCCACCTGCAAATGTTAATACAGTTATGAATAATACAAATATAAATACTTAATTAGGAAAATTAATACTACTTAAAAAAAAAATCGATCACTGTCAGCTCCAAAAATAAACAGAAACAAAAACTGTTAACTTAGGACTTACTGAGTTGCCAACTTGAAACCACTCTTTAAAAGGGAAAACTTTATTACATATCCAGATAGACACTTAAATTTAAAAAAGCTACTGCCATTTATTGACTGTGTGACACCGCCAGTTCCTGCATATGCACCTTATATGCACTATCTAATAGAAAGAGCCTACAAGCCAGCTGTGCCAGAGTCGAGTCCAAGCTTATGCCCGTTGTACTGGCATTATTAATAGTGCCACCTTTCAATCTCATATAAACTGTACAGTCATTCTAATAGCCACAGCATTCCTATGAGGGATGTGCTTATAAGGAAACTAAAAGCTTATTGCTAGCCAAATTAATTTTACTGAAATTTCTTGTATGATCTGAAGAAAACGATATATACACCTAATCCATGACACTAAGATTTTTTTAAAACAACTTTTAAATACTACCTCTGTCAAGTGTATATTGATAATACTATTCTGGAAAGCAACCTGGCAAAGCATATCATTTTAACTATGTGTGCTGAATATTAACCTGGAATTGGCTTAAAAATAAAGCAAAAGCAGTGGGCACAGTGGGAAACAAGACTGGCTATATATTAAGATCACTGAAGTTGCGTGACGGGCACATTAAGTTCATCGTACTAGTCTAGTCTACATTCTGTTAACATATTTACAGTTTTACATAACTAAAAGCTTTGTGGCCATGTGGTGTGATGGTTGAGGCAGCTGGATCCCATGGCTGACTGGACAATTCTAAGTGCCAGACATGACAACAGCTTGAAATACACACAAGGCAGGGCAGGCAGGTGGCACTGTGGTTAAAAGAATATAGCCGAGTGCAGTTCAAGTCCCAGACCTGGTGACTTGCTTTCTCACTTTCCCTCTCTCTGTTGCTCTGGTCAAATTTTTAAAATAGTAATAATATTTAAAAAGAAAAAGAAAGAAATACACATAAGACAAATGTTTTCATGGGTGCCCGAAGTCCCAAAAGGAAAAGACAGTATGGCTATCCCCAGATGAGTGATTTTTTCACTTTCTCTGTCTCTCCAGAGAGTGCACACACCCTATGCCAAAATCTCTCTTAAAAAAAAAAAAAAGTATTTGAGGGCCAGAAGATGGCAGTAAGAACAGCATGTAGGCAAATGTGCATATGTACCCAAAATCATGAATGGGATGGAGAAGAAAGGACTGTAGAGAAACCACATCCCATTGAAGGTGTTTTCTCTTGCTCGCCCTCTCCCCCCTTGTCTGGAAGGTACATATCCCTATGGCATTTTTTTAAAAATTTAACAGTAAAGCACAAATGGCAGATTCTGAATCAGTAACATTTCATCAAAAGATCACACTGTATAAATACATAATAAAAATATATTTACTTCTGCTTTTCCTGGCAATATATAGCAAAAACATGTAAGCATATATGTCAAAATTACACAAAATGGCTATAATATGGTTAGTTCCCTGTGACTGTGTCTTTATGATATGCATTATACTTATGTTTGACTTATTAAATACAAATGCACACTTATCTTTTTCTTTTCTTTAATAAGGGGGCAACTAATGAAGGCAAGATATCAGAGATGAGAATCACTTACAGGCATTGTTAATTAACCTCTAGAAGGACAGGCCTGATGAACCCAAGATGTGCCACATTATACAGGATGATACGCCTAACACAAACTGACAGAAATTTTCCTTCTTTTTTTTGGAGAGGTTTTTGCTGTAGGGCGTATACACTCACCAGAAAGACAGAGAGAGAGAGACAAAAAGCGAGAAATCACCCCCCCCCCAGGGGGGATGGCCATGCCGCAATCCTTTCTCCTCCATTCTCCTCTCGGGATCTTGGGCACGCACACACAAGCGCCCGGCGTGAGTTTTAAGCCACCGGATCAGGACTCGAACCACAGTCCACTACATGGGAGTCCAGCAACATAGCCATTATGCCAACTGCTGGCCCCAGAAATTAAGTACCTAAAAATAGCTTTTATTTGAAAATACTACACCAACACCAAATTTTGTATTTTTTAAAAATCCAATCTTATTAAAATCCAGAGTGTTTCTGACTCCATTTTCATCAACTCTATCAAATGGTTTTTTAATTTAAATTAATTCAGATTGGGCCAGTTGGTAGCATGAAGATTAAGGTGGGTGGATCCTATATGGCAAACCGGGCAGTTTGAGTCTCAGACCCAGAGGCTTGAAAAACACATCATATCTATGTGCATGCATGCCCAAAATACCAAGATAAGAATGGAGGAGTAGGTGCTGCGGCATGGCCATTTTCCCTGGGGTGGGAGCTTTCTCACTTCTCTCTCTCTTTGTCTCTCTCTGAAGTGTACACCTGCTCTGTAGCTAAAACTGAAAAACATATTAATTCACATTGCTACTGTCAGAGTAGTTGTTCATTTCTGCTGATAGATGTTTTGGTTTAGAAAGTCAATCTAAAAGTAGTCTGTTTGCCCACAAACCCCAAACTGTTTCCATTAAAATACAGCTGAAGATAATTTTTTAAATATCCTTAAGGATAAAATACTATAATGAAATTTTTAAAAAGTTGTATTACTATGCTAAGATTTCTCTATTCTAGGCATCAAATAATCTTTTATTACACCTGAATATTCCAAGCTAGAAAATGAAGTACCAAAACCTATTAAAAGGCCACTTTCTAACCCAGCAACTCAACTCCTAGGTACATATTCAAAAGAAATAAAAATCTGTGTGCACAAAAATTGGAAACAATACACATGGTCAACAACATGTGAATGGATAAATTCTGGTGTATTTATACAACTCAGTAAAAAGGAACAATATGGATACATCTCAAAAGCTTCGTGTTGAGTCAAAGAAGTCAGAATCACTGTATGAGTCCATTTATATAAAATTCAAAACGGGCAAAACTAATCTATAGTTGTAGAAATCAGAACAGTGGTTCTTGTGAAGGAAAATAGGAACTGACCAACCGACATAGGAGAATTCTGAAAACAATACAACAGACATGCTTTATATATTGACCAGAGTGGTAGTTACAGGGTATATAAATCTGTCAAAACTCCAACTGCCTATCTAAAGATCTGGGAATCTCACTGCAAGTACATTTCATCTCAGCAAAAACTAGCAGAATAAAACACCTACTAGTGAACTTTTTCAAATTACCACCTTTCCCCACAAACTGAAAGGCAAATAACTCACTGTTGCCACAATGAACTGTTATCCTCAGCCTTGAAGGGCACTGGATGGCCAAGCTCTGCCATGACGCTAATAACAAGAAATCACTAAAATCTAAGAGGTGGTCTCCCAAAACCACGTATGCATCAAGTTAAATCCTCTTTTAAGTGAAAACATTAATAGATCACTAAAAGATTTTTTTTTTTGAGAAGTTTTTGCTATAGGGCGCATTGTGTGCGCTCGCCGGAAAGACAGAGAGAAACAGAGAGACAGAAAGCGAGAAATCACCCCGCAGTGGGGGATGGCCATGCTGTAATCCCTTCTCCATTCTCCTCTCAGGATCTTGGGCACACACGCACACATGACCAGTGTGAGCTTAAACCACTGGGTCCGGGACTCGAATCGCAGTTGACTACATGGGAATCCAGCGACATAGCCATTACACCAATTGGTGGTCCCAGAAGATTAAAATTTTTATCATTAATAATTCTGAGTCTATGGGCTGGTGGGTGGCTTGGTGGTTAAGGGTCCTGGACTCCCACAAGGCTCCAAAGGACTGCCTTGCCCCTCACCAAGGTGAGGACAACAGCAAGCTGCAATTCCATGAACCAAGAAGTAGGCCCTCATCAGACAGTGATTCCGAAGGTACCTTGACCTTCAGATTCCTCAGCCTCCACAACTGGGAGACAGAAATTCCTAATGTGGACAAGCCACCTAGTTCATGATATTTTGTTATAGCAGCTGCAACAGACCAAGGCAAAAGGTAAATCTATATAGACAGAAAAAAGATTTGGGGTTGCCTAGAGTCAGGAGGGGGAGGAGCAGGAGGAAAGGGGGGCTGATTGCTAAAAGGTATAGGGCGTCTTTCTAGAGTGATAAATTAATGTTCTAAAACTGACTGAGGTGATGGCTGTACAAATCTATGAATTTTTTTTTTTGAGAGATTTTCACTGTAGGGCGCATGCGCTCGCCAGACAGAGAGAGAGAGACATAGAGACAGAAAGCGAGAAATCACCCCCCAGGGGGGATAGTCACGCCACAATCCCTTCTCCTCCATTCTCCTCTCGGGATCTTGGGCATGCACGCACACGCGCCCGGCGTGAGTTTTAAGCCACCGGGTCCGGGACACGAACCGCGGTCGACTACATGGGAGTCCAGCGACATAGCCATTACGCTAACTGCTGGTTCCCCAAATCTATGAATTTTTTAAACTGAACTATACACTATAAATGGGGAAAACACACAACATAGGAATTATATCAAAAAAATTTTTTTAAGAAACATGAATTTTGGGTCCGGAAGAGAGTATAGTGGTAACGTCACTGGATTCTCACATAGCTGACCATGGTCAGCAGTTAGAGTCCCGGACCCGGTGACTTGAAACTCATGCTGGGAGTGTGAGCATGCATGCCCAAAATCCCAGGGGGAGGATGGAGGAGAAGAAAATGTGGTATGGCCATCCCCACTGGGGGGCGATTTCTCACTCTCCCTCTCACTGTCTTTCTCTCTCCCCGCCCACCATGACCACATGCACCCCAAGGCAAGAACCTCTTAAAAAAAAAAAAAGAAAAAGAAAAAAGAAACATTAATTTTAGACAACAGTGTTGACTAAAATTTCTTTTAGTTTGCTTGCCAAAACAATCACAAAATAGGGCTGGCCCCATGGCTTGAAAATCACACTGGGCTCGTACGCATGTGTGCCCAAGTGAAGGAATATAGGAACTGG